AAAAAGAACAACTCCTTCTCGGTTGGATAAATCTCACTGTCTGAACTAGCAAGAATCTGGTATCAAGCACAGCATGATTTATTAACTGTGAATCAGAATTTGGCTGACCATAGCTGTAACCAGCTGTCTGTATTAAAAAAAACAACAACTTGCTGTGACATGGATATTTTGCAGAACCAGGAGCTTCAGGTAATGGTGATTAATGAATTGTTCTCCATGTGGGTTTATGTAGTTTTTCAGGATTTTCAAATCAACTTGTAAGGAGCAAGTATTATATTTTAAAAGCAGTCAAAGGATTCCCCATGAATTAGGTTGTTCTTAAGATTATAATACTAAATTAATTAACTGAAGTAAACCAGAATACATCCCAAATCATGTGAATATATTTGAGCTGAGCCCTTAGTCACTGCCATGTATACAGTATACATTTACTGAATAAGTACTAATTATAGTGTGTCAATATTAGAAGGCTTTGTATGGTCATTTACCCAAGAAGTGTGTTACAGCACTGCAGCCTTGCTTGAGGGTTCACCGTGATTTGTTCCATCCTTATGTGATGTGCAGGATGGCACTGAGCTGAATGAGGCTTTCAGACTGGCAGCCCTTTCATCTTCAAACCTTCTTTTTTCCTCTGTCCTGAAAACACAAAGGAAGGGACCCTGAGGTTGTGTAATTCCTCTTTCAGCTTTTCCATCCCCAACAAATTTAAAAAAAAGATGTGAATTGGGCCTCAGAACTTTTAAATGGGGGATCAGGAACTGGTGACCCACAAAACTTTGAATCTGGCCCTCAGAGCTGGGGTTTTGCTGGCAGGGCTTTGCCTGTGCTGTGATGTGTCATGGCTGGGAGCTTTCCTGTGCTGCACTGCAGCTGGGTGATGAGAAGCACCAAGGGCCAGGTCCTTGTGCCAGCCTGTCTCAGACTTGAGCTGGGTCACTCCAGTGCAGTGGTAGGAAACATTGATGACTTCTGCTTTAAACCAATGCTATTGTCTTAAAATGATAAGATTAAGTGTTTTTAGTCTCTTGTTTTTGAGCCTTATGATTTACATTTTCTCTACAACCATGAAGGTTAGAAGCTATTTATTTATTTGTAATGAAAACTGAGATTTGTTTAAAAAAATTAGGATGACCCCAAAAACTGAGGATTTTAAATACTGATAACCTCGAGAGAGTAGGCAACATCAGCACTTAGTTGGATGTAGGGATTGTATTGCACCTGGTTTACAGATTGGGCACAAAAGCACAAAGAATAACTTATTTCCCTGTGATCATCTAGGAAATCTATAACCAAACTGGACAAAGAATCCAGGTCTTCTAAGTACCCTTCTGGTAATATATTACTCTCCTTTTAATGAAGTAGATGGAAATAATGAATAGAGCCTCTGTTGTATGACCAGTCAGCTCTGGACTGACTACTTGTAAGTGGAAATGGTTTGGAATTGTTTAGCAAAATGGTTTTGGTTTTTTTAAAATCAGAAAATGCTGATTTATTGAAACAAAAGCTATTTCCAGGAATGAATGTGTCTCTATGGTATTTCCATTGGGAAGGTTTAAGTCCAAGGTGAAATCTGGAGACAAAGAATAGTCTAATGATTAGGTATTCTTCTAGTAAGTGGAGTGATCCTCCTCATGCTAAGGTAGGCTGTTAGCTGTTTTGGGATGCGTGCCTGCTCTAGTGCATGTTCTTTTACTTTCTCTTAAAAAGAAAGTTTCAGTCTCAGACGCAGAATAAAAGAAATAACAAAACTATTTGGGAATTGGCATTCTTTTTTACTGGCCAGACTTACCAGGATGTACTCTGTGGCCACAGTTTGGAAAGCACTGGCATGTCTTCACAGGGCTGTGTGGTATAATGGCATATTTTAGGGCTAAACAAACATTTTTAGTGTAATCTGCTCCTCGTGCTAGTTTACATAAAGTAGAAGAACTTAAAAAAGGAGAAAGCACAATCCATAGTTCTTCAGCTCTGTCTTCAGCCTATTGCTATACAGTGTTTTTTCAGTATTGCACAGTTCTCTAATATATTTTACTATTGTTATATCAAGTAAGTTGTTTCCCTTCACACTTAGAACAAATTTGGGCAATCAAGAATAAATTTGATAAAAATTTTCCCTCTTCTCTCCAACTGCCAGTCAGGTCCATGGGAAAGAGGTGCTGTGTTCAAAGAGTTAATGTGGGATTAACATTTTTATTAAAATGAGAGTAGATTTTTAAAAAAGGAAATAGAAAATGGAATTTAAGATATGATTGATGCATCTAGAAATGTATGCATCTTCTAGTAAAGTGGAGGTAAAGTTGATATAAACTTGGAATGCAGTCAAACCCCAAAAGTAGATTTAAATTAGATTAAATTTTATAACTTAAATCTGCAGCAAAAGGAAATGAGGATACGGACAGGCATTACATTTCTAGCGGAGTAATGACATTTCCACTAGAAACGGAGTGTATTAGTATATTAGTGCAGTTTCTCCTACTGCTTCTGGGAGAAAGATTTTCCTCTTTTCAATGAGGAAGATCTCTCCTGTGGGAGACTTTGTTCCTCCGGAACCAATATCTGTACGCTTCCCTGGGAGGAGTCAGGCAGGGAAGTATACAGGTAGTTCTGGAGGAACAAAGACTGGAGTGACTCCAGTCTTCGAAAGGCTCGGAGGATATTTTTTGTGATAGACGAGACGTCCAGTCCTGATCCCTTGAAAGAATGGAGTGATGGTAAAAGCTTCTTTGGGGGTACATCTGTACGAGACACTTAATGCACAGTAGCGTGCCAGGCAAAAAGCATCCTAATATGCTACTGTGCAGTAGTATTAGGCTACTGTGCAGTAAGTGTCACTAAAAAACCATGTGCTGGTGCTACTGCGCAGTAACTATAATTACTGTGCATTTAGCTTAATACTTCATTAAGCAAGTACTAAACTAAATACACAGTAACTACTGCACATAAATGATCATATAGACATGCCCTGTATGTTCTCCAGACCCTGGGGAAACATCTTATTATTTTCTAATTATTTTATATATTTAGAACATTCATGTTTCCGTGAAAGTTTATTATTTTCATATATATCATGATCTTGAGTAGGTTCAGTTGCTGTTGTTGATTCTGTTTGTAGCTTCTGACTTGTTTGACTTAGCTCAGAATGTCTGTAAAGAAAGTGTGGAGTATAAGTAATGGAACAGTTCTTCAACTTTCTATGAAATCACAAACTTCTATGTTGCTTTGTATATGTTTGTTATCTACTGAGTACAGACCTCCCTGACTTCTTTTGTCAGCAGTGGTATTTATTAAATATTGTAAAAGGAAAGTCGCCTATACACAAGCACCGAGACTGCTCCAGTGTGCTGGAATTCCAGCGCGTTGGAGCATACTCGATTAATTCAGTCGAGTGTGGCAGTTGCTGCATTCCAGCAGCTCCTGCATCTTGTGTATCGGTGTCCCCACGCTTAAAGATGAACTTAAGCCTATTGAATGAGCTTTAATTAGAGTGGCTTAATCAAAGTGCTGCTCTTCTCCTTCCCCCCACCCCAAAGCGTGTGTAACAGTGTACAGAAAAACTATAATAGTCTAAATGAAAAAGCCTGAAAGACAGAATGGTGATTGAAACAAGATTCAGTTTATAATTTCTTTCTGCAAATGGCTATAATTAAAAGTTTGTGGCAGTGTTTATTGCTGTTATGTGAACTTCTTCACATCCTCCAATACTATTTATATTTTAAACAAGTTAAACTATTAGTATAGAAACCACAAATTAGCACAGAACATGTTTTCTCTTCCTGGTTAAAAAGAGAGAGAGATTTTAAAATTTTGCTTCCCATTTTGTTTCTAGTTATGTCATTTTCTAGCTATACCTAGGATGTTCTACACAATTCATGTAGGTGTAGGTTACAGTACTTGGAGTACCTGTCTTGTAGCCATTTAAGATGGGTGAACAGAAGAGTTTTTATCAACTGGGAATAAGATCAAGGCCTGCAATGTAATTTCACTATTCTACAAAAATTGTATACATTTCTGTATTTATTTATTTTTAAATTTTTTTCTGAGATGTGTAGTTTGTGCCCTTCTCATACATGGGAAGGATTGACTTAATTGGTTAATTCTTTTTGCTCATGACTAGGATACATACAAAGTACACTAATATTCCAAACAGTAGCTATAAATATTCATTTAAAATAGATATTGGCTCAGTTGTGAAGGCCCTTAGGTTTTTGTCACTAAATCACAGTGGTGGTAAAAGTTCTGTTCCTTTTACAGTATTTTACAGCTGCTTCATTCTCCTTGTTAATAAGAACACAGGCTGTTCTTTCAGTTAAATGCATATCATATGTATATATATAGTATTTTCCATTTTCTGACCTTTACAAACATGAACTGATAAGATAAGATGAGGGAAACTGAAGCAGGCAGTATAAATAGTTGAGGCCAGAGAGAGTTAGCGTTTGAGCTAGAAATAGACATGCATGTTTTTATAACTAAAATACAGTTTTTGTTTTAAAATCTGCAATTTAGCATTAAGCCTATAAGGGCATGGTCCTATCAGAATCATTTGCATCTGTAACACCATCTATTTTAGGATCAGGCTATTAACTGTGCTCTGTTATGTCAGATTCTGGTTTATATCAGTACTTCTGCTGCACAGACTGCTTCCCTATCATGCTGCTTCACTGTGCATTTAGGTTGGGTGCCTCACTTAAGAAAGATGCAAACAGATTAGCAAGAGTTTAGCTGAGAGTGACAAAAATTATCAGAGGGCTGGGAAACATGGTTTATGAGGAAAGGCTGCAAGAACTGGCATTGTTCAGTGTGGAGAAGAAGACTGAGGGAGGACTTGATAGCAGTCTTCATATAGATGGATAGAAGATCTTCAAAGAGGATGGGGATAAATTAATCAGTGTGGCTGTTGTGGCATGACTAGGAACAATGGCCTCAGGATGCAACAGAGGAAATTTAGGTTGGAGATTAAGAAGAAACTTTCTCACTGTGAGGGTGGTTGAGTATTGGAACAAGCCTAGAGAGGCTGTGGAAATTTTCAAGAGCGGGTTTGACAGCCACTTCCCTGGGATGGTTTAGTTAGGAGTGGGCAGGAGGCTGGACTACATAGTTTTATAAGGTCTCTTCCAGTCCTGTGATCCCAAGCAGAGGGAGCAGAATGCTTATTTGAAAGAAGGTATGTTTTAACGTTGCTTCAGCAGCACAGAAGTCTGCTTCCCGTGTATGTCTTCAAGGGAGAAGAAACAGGATGGAAGAGAATAACCTGAGGGATAAGACAAAGACAAGTGATGACAGGCACTACTTAAGTATTATTTATATATTTATAAATAATATATATTAGATATTAGATATTAGATATTTGATATTAGATCAAAGTAGCACTTTGATCTAATCAAATCAAGGTCCCCAAAAACTTAGTCTTGGAACATTCAGTGATTATGTTTTAGTATTTAAGAAACCATCTATGTAAAGGAACGTACTTACAATGTTTCAAACATGATGATATCCATGTATCTCAGACGTTTTCATGACAGGTTCTTGCCTTGAAGAAGCAGAATTAAATAAAGATTTTGGGTAATTGAGCATTGACTTGCACTTAATTTTGTAAAGAAGGAAATGTCTTTTAAACTGAATTTTGATCCAGTTATAATGCCTTGTAGTATATTAATTTTAGTTTTGTAGGTTAAAGTGTAAAATTCTAAAGGGGGCTAAATTGTTAATTCAGAAAAGGAAATTGCCATATTTTCTCATATACAACACACTCCAGAGTAAAACATGCATTTTGTTTGTGAAAAACAGAATGAAGAAAAAAAAGTAGTTGAATAGCATCATCTAGGGAGCAAAGTCTGCTTCCTTCTCCTTGGGGATTGTGTTCAGTTACTTTTGCTTTCACCTGGCAGAATCTTAAGCAGCAGAAACTGTTGTTACTGTATTTCCTCACTTTATAACATACACCCCAATTTCAAGCAGCTGATTTTTGGAAAAAAGAATCTGTGGGGTAAGTGAGAAAATATGGTAATAATTGATGGCAAATGTCATTGATAACTATTTAAAGGAAACAGCATTTTATTGGCTATACTACTGTAAAGACAGTGTATATCTGGGTTTATACAAGTTTTTAGAGAGGAAGCTGGAGGTTTTGACAGTTGGATAGGAAGGCCTTTGAAAATTTTGGCAAAGCAAAGAGTTGGAGGGAAATGCAGATTAAGTGATGTTCCCGCTGATTTTACAGTTTTAAGGTAGGTGGCAATATTGACAAAATACTGTAGAATTTATATCCAGCTGAGCTGAAGATTAGAAGAAGGGTTTCTAACCATAAGAGTGAGGTTCTTGAAAAGCTTAGCAATAAGAATACAAGGGACAAAACACTGAACTATTTTTTAGATGGAATTTGGTTGGTTTACAAAAGAAATGGCATAAGGTGCTTGTCTGAAGTAGTATATTTTAATGCCTATTTCTCTATTCTCAGTTTGCAATTGAAGGTTTTCTTCAGAGTTTGGAGAACTAGAAGTGTATTTTTTTTCTTACTATACAGAGCTTAGTTTTTGTAGGGAAGTTATGTAGTTCTATACCAAGGGATTCTACTGCAGTGGAACCAGCTGAATCTAGTGCTTTGACATCAGTTCAGAACATCAATCATGAATAAGCATTTACATTGCATGGGAATGAAGTGAAGTGCATTATCTGAGGTGTTCACATTTATAATATTATTATTTATATTTATAATTTTATTAGTAGGTACAAGTAGAATATTTTGTTTTGGTCTTTTGCAGTGGTGCCCAATCTTTCTGACCATGTGGGACAAATAGATGGTGTGTGGTTGGGCTGTGTGTCAGATACTAGCGCATACAGTTGGCATGTGGCTGGGATCCAGCACATGGTCCCAGCCCCACTCATCAGATCAGGCTATAGCCCTACATGCTGGATGGGGCCTGAGGCCCTGCCTCGGTCTGTGCCCACTGTTCTGGCCGCACATGTTATTGGCCCTGGGGTGCTGGCTTTGCACATGCTGGATTGAAAATACAGGTTTTATTGAGTTTTGTTGTTTACAGAATAAGTTTGCATGTCTTGATTGTCAAATGACAGTAGTGGTTATAACCCAATATGAATGTATGCAAACTTAATATTCAACTTTATTTGGGAATTTGAACATTGTTTTCAAGACTCAGATTGCTTTATGTATTGCAGGTCTCGGTAGGTGGATGTACTTGTACTTGGTATGCTACATTTTGATTTTTTTTCTTTTTTTCAGACAAGTATAAAGGAAGGACTACTATTGAAGCAAACCAGTTCTTTTCAGAGGTGGAAGAAACGCTATTTCAAACTTAGAGGTCGAACCCTTTACTATGCTAAGGACTCAAAGGTAAGAATCTATATTTCTATCAATTAATACTTTACACTTGAAATTCCAATGGGTTTTTAGGTTTGCCAAGCTTATTATCAAATAATTTAAAATGTCATATTAGTGGTCATTTTTAGTAAATAATTTAATGCTTTTCAAACAGTATGTTAAATTATCTTTAAAAAGAATACTGGTTATGTATCTGTGTTTTCTAGAAAGTTATATATTTTCTTTTGAATTTGGAAATTAATTAGACAAATTATATAGATACACTGATCTTTCCTGCAGTGGAAAAAAGGAAGATAAACCTATTTGCATTTAACCCCACCCCCCCCAA